TAAAGAATCATTATGCAGAGAATCTAATGACATTCTAAAGTGAAATCGCCTTTTATGAATGGATTATTCTTCCAATATATATTTTCAATCATAGCATATATTCCTCTGTAGGGTTCGTCCATTGAGGATACGTCAGGACATAAGATCAGACCGAAAGATATAGTCGATGGACAATAGATGAATATTCATGTGGTACTCTATGTCAGTCACGAGGGACGTAGCCTAGGAGGCTAAATTAGCCGAAGCTAGCTGTCAGTTCGAGTACATAAGGTGCTTGCAAATACAGTGCAGACGATGGGAAGACGAGAGAAACCAGAACAAAAACCTACCTAGAAAGTAACATTAAATTTCACTATTCATCACATAGATTATGCTCTTCACTGAGTCATCTACCGTTTCCACCTAATTCTGTACATTTTGCATGACTAATTACTCCTTTCTGCAATCATTTCAAAAATGTCAAAGTTAAATACAAATTTGATCACACAATACAAAGAAAAAGAAGAGACAGACATCTAGTTTTAGCACTGTTTAGTGTTCATTCAACCTCCGTATCGAGTGTAAAAATGTCACGATGCACAGATGATGATGGTTTAAAAGGTGTTGACCTAATTGGGATGTTTCTTATCATCAAAAACCCTAAATATTTGAGTATAAAACGTGGGAATGCACATGTTTGGCTCATGTTTATAAACAGATTATTTTTTATTCATTTATTTCGAGGGATCCACAAATATAATACACATATTCACAATATAATTTCTATTTATTTATAATTTAAACTGTTTATAATAAACACTTTTCAAACATGCTCGACTCCAAGTGCACCTATCGAATAACCCGACCATATATAAACTATAAAGTAATTAGGTATGCTTCAATTATATATGTGACATCCTCTTTTCTATGCTATTTAAGTAGTTACGAGCTATAATTATATATGTGTTTATGTATATATGTCACACTCGAATAATTAAAGACGGAAAAAATACCTTCCACCCTCATATCATAATTGGGGTTTTTGGAGTTGCCTTTTCAAAAAATTTCAAATCAATCCAATTGAGACAATGGATTTGATAGATTGAAAAGTAACAATTTAAAAAATTTTAAAATTTTGTAAGATAAGATCAATATTTTTAGTTTGAGCCCATCTAGGCCCAATAAATACAAGTCTTCACCTGTGGAACAAAAGCTTGGAAATTTAAACTTAGCACTAATTTGAGGTAAAAAACCATTTGTAACTATTTCTTTTTTTGTGAACTTTCATTTATCGCACTACTCGTTTTTTTTTCTATTTTGTAAATTCTATTGGTAATTAAAAGGACAAAAATTCCATTTCCGAACTCAAGTGGTAAATTTTTTTGAATAATTGGCATCTCGACACCCATCGTAAACTATACTTGAGATTACTACATGAATTTAAAGAACAAATAGCTTTGTCAACTAAGAACGATCATGCACCATCACCCATAAAACAAAGAAACAATTCTCTGTCAGACAACGTTACTATATCTAGACTTGATAGGTTTCTCTCTGTTGAGCCAAATTAAGCTGCAGTCTCCACTCGTAATGGTGCATTTTCGTCAATTCATTTAGGTTTTCGTGTTGCGACCATATTCTCCCGAAACCTAAAGATTTTGATTTTTCATAAAGTGCCGATAAAGTCATAAACAATAATCACAATAGTTGAAATGAAAGGTTGATAGTTGACGATTTAGAAATAGTTACGATGTCTACCCTTTCATTCTTCAAATTATGAAATGAAAATTAAAGGATTAAGGGTTTGTTTGATAAGATTTTTTGAGAATAAATTTTAAGGAAAATGACTTTTCAGAATGTGTGGTTAAAAAGTAAGAAAAAAATTATTTTATTAAGAAAACATTTAATTGAAAACTTTTAGAAAATAAATTTTAATAAAATTTGTACACCGATTATAATCTAAATCTAAATTATCAATTAATTATAACCACATATTTTATAGATCATACTTTTAATCATATATTTTATTAACTTTTATTAAAATTTATTAAAAATCTAATTTTAATCCCAAAGCTAAACAGCAATCTCCACACCAAATAATTGATGAATAAAATTGTGTAAAAAGGTCAAAAAAAAAAAAAAAATGAAGGAAGAATAGAAAAAGTAAGTTTTCATATTCCCTCATCTCTTGTCCTCGTCAAAGTGACAGACGTTCTGGTAAGTGGGTCCCTCATATCGAGAGTGGTTGTCCCTATCATATCATGACATGCAATCTATGTCCCATGCATCTAACCTAAATTCCTCTCCAGTACATAATCGTTACATGGTAGATACACGTTTAACATATTAGTCGATATGAATCGATGCAATTACGAAGTTAGGCAATTGATTAAGTCCCATTATTTAGTTTCAGTAATATATTTTTTTAAATATATATATATATAGAAGATTTTATCAATAACGATGATGATATCGATTATAGTCGACGAATATGTGTCAATGATGATTGACGATATGACTTTTGATAATTCCAAAAAAATCCGAATATATTAATTTTCATTAGAATTACAAACGAAATTTCCACAGTATTCATTTGTTTCAATAAATTTGTTATTATTATTTTTTTAAAAAAATATTTTCACGACAAGACTCCTATATTTATTTGAATTTTTAAAATTTTAATAATTAATAAATGTCTACTTCACAGCCAACTAACTTTATTTGTACATTGATATTAAAGTGGTGCATGCACAAATAGATATAGAAACAGTGGTCAGAGTCATGAATTCACCCTCCTTTCCCACATAATGTTACCTCTATCATTTTGGGGTGTGGGAAAATGCTTTGGCACATGAACTGCACCCACTTTTTTACCCTTTTTAATTTTATAATATTTCTTTAAAAAAAATTCATTTTGACCAACTAATCGAATGAAATTTATCTTCAACACGATCCGTGATCGCATGCATACTGAGTTTATATTTTAATCAAGCGATCGACGCTTGCATGATATTTTTAATAGATAGCATTATAATTTCAATTTTTTTTTTCGTTTGCTTGGTTCTGTAGTGAGTTAAAGGTTGAATTAAGATTTTATTCCCGTGCATATACACATACAAGCAAGTATGGTGTGAATCGGGATGTTTAATTTTATAGGTAATAGACTGAAAGGATCACTCGTGTTTCAATTTGGTTATTCATGTTTAAAGATGATCATACATTTTTATATTTCTTCCATATAAGCGGAAATTGGTGATCGCTAAAGAAGTTCGGGACCAAATTGAAAGAAGATCCAAAAATCTGGGTAACTTTGCGCTACTATGTCTATTACAATCTAGAGTTAGGCATTTATAGTTGAACTCAAATAGATTGCCAAAAAAAAAAAAAAAATTGGAAGTAGGAATAGTTTGTGCAGCATGAAATGTCAAATTAGAGGCAGCTCGTGCGTTGACATTAGCTCATTTATAGTTTAAATTGAAATCAATCACATTTAGAAGTAAGAAAAATTTGTCCAACACGAGATGTAGAATTAGAGGTAGCTCATTTGTTGCCATAAAAGACGGTTGATTTGTAGTTCATCGTAAAAAGGATTTTAGATGTAAGAATACTTTGTGGGCCCATTTGGCAGGATCTTTGAGAAGTTAATTTTAAATATGTTCGGATAATTTTTGGCAGGAAGTTGGTCTAAAGTCATGAAATTCTTTTACAAATAGATGCTGGTGGTAGTGATGATGCTGGTGTTGGTGGTGATGTTGGTGGAGTTTAAGAAGGAGACTTTTTTTCCCCCTATTTGTTTTATTTTGTCTATTTAAAATTTGAGGTAAGATTATCATTTTCATTTAACAGAAGTAATGGATGGAATCGGATGGAATGATCATTTCGTAAAGAATGATCGATCTGAGAGCTCTATATAAACATTTTATGTTAATTATCGATTAAATCTATAATATATTAAATATCACATCAAGTGAAAATAATAATACATTACTTTTCGATTTTTGATATGTAATAAATACTACAAAATTCGTGTCATATATGAATTTCGTGTTATTAATTTATAATTAATTAACATTAACATTAATATAAATTAATTGAATCTTGACTTGATGAATCTAGAGTTACTAATTATTTAAATTCATGTATTATCAACTAACTCTTATGTACCAAATGTTGTATAAAAAAATTATTCATCTATGGTATTTTATTATCACAAAAAATTTGAATAATGGAAGTTGAGTTTTGAGAATACAATTTTCTTATTTTAAATTTTATTTTCTTTAATTTGTTTGAGACTCATCAAATTTTCTCAACAAATTTTTATTTTCTTGAATCTGCCACGCGCCGCGCGTTGGCATTCCACAGAATCTGTGTCACTGTGTGACTGAATTCTAATGCGCACACGAGAGTCTGTATAAACATATACATACGCATATACATATGCATATACTTGGCTGTAATAAGTACATGTGTTGTAAATTGTAATTACTAAAAGAAGTGTAGAAATATTCTCATTCATTACTTTTATCTTGGGGTCTCATATGTCGCTTTCAAGACATAAATATACAGAGCTGAAAATGGGATTGACTCATTGACACCACACCTTTGGAGCGGGAAAATACGCATAAAGAAATGCCATCACTATCTCTCTCTCACTAAAACTTTTTCCCTCATCTCTCTAGAAAATACCTCAAAGAAACTCATTTCCTTGTTCCTCATATTCGTTTTTCTTCTCTATTTTTTGTGGGTTTTCTTTTCTTGATTCTTCAAGATCTTTGTTTTATGCAGTTGTGCTGTTTATGTTGTGTGTGTATTTATTTATTTATTTTTTTTTTGTGAAGAAATGAGTTGCATATTTGTGCATACTTTTGCGCACTCTATATCAATATATATTTAGGTGAAGAAACTAGAAAGTGATGGCTATGGAATTTGAGGGCTTTTCGATGCGGTGAGTTTTTAAGTTTTGTTAATTAATGTTTATTATGCTTTGATTTTCGTTGGATTTGTTCAAAAGGTTGGCTTCGATGTTTTGTAGAGGATATGTCTCGAGGATGAGAAGTGTTAACGTGGTAAAATGCTGGCCCTTCGATGAGACCGATGAAGATGTTGTAAAGTCATTGCTCCCTCCGATCACTCTCAAGAAATTCACCTGGTGGTTCGATGTACTCGAATTGTCGCGTTCAGAATCGATTAGAAGCGTCAAAAACTCGAAAAAGAAGAAGAAAACAGTTCAAGAAAAGGGAGAATCATCACTTACACATCAAGACTATACGGAAGAATCAGACTTGGATGCTGAAGAATTCATAGGAGTAGCAGCAAAGTTGAAGCCTTTAAAGGGGAAGGTGAAGCCAAGGGCTCCAAAGAAAAGGTCTATAAAGGAGCTTTTTGAGGTGGCGCCGCCTGTGGATAGAGTTAGTAGCGAGGAGGACGAGGATGAGGACGAAGAAGACTTTCGCGATTCGAAGGAAATTAAATGGGGTCTCAAAGGAAAGAGGAACGAGAAGAAAAAGAATAGCAAAGAGATTTTCTTAAGCAAGTTGAAGAAGCCAAAGAGGAAGATTAACAAATTCAAGAAGAAGAAAAGCAATAAGGAGATGGATCTACCAGTTGCAAATAAGGTATGGGTTTCTTCATATATAATTATCTCAAATTCGTCTATAAATAGGGGTTTTCGTACACGAAAATGGATTCGGGAACTTTGTGTACACACTTCACCCATATAATCTTTATACAAATGTATCGATTCTGATTGGATTGTCTTGATTGGTAGCAAATATGAGTAATTTGGAACATAAAATATAGGCCTAACTAAAGTTTTCTTGATTCTAAGTGGTTAAAAATGCTTGATTGTTACCTCTTTTTGCTTAATACAATTTACTGCTGAAAAGGCTATACTTGTTTGTGTGGCAATTAGATTCATTCAGTTTAAAGAGATAAAGTTAAAAAAATAGGAGAATGGGGATCTCATGATAGAGGGATTTGAGCAGGTTACAAGGAGAAGAGGGTATGGTGTTCCAGCTGTGCTGTACGGGTTGGACATCAATTTTTTATGAGGTTGAAAGTTTTGTTAATTAATTATGTTGTTTTTTCTACTGTTTGCCGATGTTTTTCTCTTGAACCATCATTGTCATGTCATTTTTTGGGGGGCATTTCAATTTTTTCATATTCCCAAAATTTGACCATATGATTTCTTCAACTTTTTTTGTTAAGCTAGGGTTGTTCAATCTAGAGAACGATTTGGTAGATACTTGGGGTTTGAAAATCGATCGAATGGAGGCGCGAAATGGTGAAAATTACGATATGGGTTTTATTTTATGACTAGTAAAATTATAAGACTGTTCTCTTGGTTGTGTTTAAGTGAATTAGAGTGTTATGCTTTGTACGATTCTTGATTGAAGGGTTTGATGCAAATCTCTAATGGTGAAACACTGAATGAATTTAAAATTTTTTGTGTGCCTTTTAAGGCCTGGTTTCTAGTGAGATTTAATAGGTGGGGTAGTCATATAATGCTGGAAAGCTAAATGATTCCACTGGTTTTATGGTACAGCATGGGTTATTTGGTGGCTTGTACAGCGCCACCGCGGAATCTACGTACTGGAGGAATATGGATAAAATAAATTTGTTAACGCTGGCTTCGATTTAAAATATTGAATTCGATGATGAATTACAAGTTTCAGGACTTGCATTGTGGTTTAAGGATAATCAGACCATTTTTTGGGGATGAATATATGCTGCTTAACTTCTTTGGTGTTTTAATCAATTGTGTGCAAGAATGAAACTAACTTATGACATACTCTATGCTTATCTTGTCCTAAACTTAAATAAAAAATCACAAGGACTATTACTGTGGACATAAATTCAATGTAAACTCTTTGTTTTCAGAAAACCACATGAAATAATGGTTTGATGGCATACACTGACTTAAATAAAAGAATAATGCTATTTATTATCATGATGATAAATTATCGATGATGTAGCAGTCTATGTGGAATAATGAGATTAGACAGTTCAATTTATATGAGAGAGAGGGGATTAGAGAGAGAGAGAAATGTGATGGATAATGGATTGTTACATCCCCGATGATTTACCATCATGATCATAAATAGCGTTACTCTAAATAAAATCCCTTTATTGATATTAATGTCACACAGTTTCTATTTTTCTTAATGCAGTTCTGTAATATCTAAATAAGCGATTACTTTCTTAAGTTTAGTTCATTCTGATCAGCTTTGAATTTAATTATGAAATTTCATAAACATAGCATAATTATACACGAGAAACGACATAGAAGATGAAATAAAGTACACAAACTAATCATGTTCTTTTTCACTACCATGTTTAGTTATTGATGTCGGGTTATAGTTTTCATCTTTTGAGCGATATTTTTATGCATGGATATAGTTGAGGTATTTCATTTTGTTGAATAATTGGCTTACATTTAAGAAAGAATAAGAAAACTCGAAGTGTATAACTATTTTTTTTCTGAATCCCGTCGTGTTGGTCGGTTAACAACAGAAACATGACTTTTTATTTGTGAAATTTTGAGGAATGGATTCCCGTTCCCTTGAGAAATCATTCTTTATATATCCTAATTACTGACATGTTTTATATGCTTCCTCAGGAGGTATGTTCTAAGCTCCACCTGCAATCTCACGTTGTTGTTAACGAGTTGGATATTGATCTATCTGAAGCTGTTCCAATCCAAAAGGGGAAACCAAAAGTGAAACACTTGGATGAAAAGAAGAAGATCATGGCTCGTAAATCTTCTAAGTTGACCGCAGAAAATGAAAAATTGGAGTTCCCCATGCGTGGGATTTTAAAGAATCATAACAAAGTATTTCCACTACTGAAATCAAGAAATTGCATCTTGCATGAGTCTATTCAAGCCAATCCATGTGGAATACAACAGGCAAACAAACACGTCACTTTCTCAGAAAAGGACGACATACTAGGACGTCAAGAACTACAAAAGTTTCTTGGTTCAGATTCTGACACAGTTGCTTCTTCTTTATTGGACAATCATGCTGGAGAGAGAGGAAACAATTCGACTGTTATAGAAATGAGTGGAAGTGAAGATAATTCGGGTGGAACCGAAAATGGGCACGATGCTCTATCTGTAAGTAAAAAGCAGTTGACTATCGAATGCCATGAGTTTGATACAGCTAACTTTGTGAAGAAACATAGCCACGAGAAACTGTTTGGCACATCTGTAAAATCATGTCAAAGTGCACTGCTAGACTCGAATTTACATTTGTTTGAAAGAGGCCATGGAGAAGCATCTCATGATCCTTTGCGTGCTTCTCCTCCTTCGTTCTTTTGTAAGCATCCAGAAGGACACAGCCAAAACCCAAATCTCAAAGTGATTAGAAATTCATCAAGTTCTTACAATAACTGCAAAAGAATGATGGAACACCTAGGGAATCCTGGTCCCGGAATTCCTCCATTGTGTTTTGAGGATTATCCAAAAGCATATAATGAGTCTTCAGCACCATATTTGTATAAATGGGAGAAAAGATCAAACACAATGCCTCAATTTCCCCCGCAAAGTGCCATAGAGAATTTTGGTGGCCATGCTTTCCAGTATCAATCATTTCCTCACCTGTCTCCCAAGGAATTGCTGAGTACTTTATATTCCCTTCCAGAAGTGAACCAAAAAAGAATGGATGGAGATTTTGTTGGCTTACCTCTCAATTCACACGGAGAATTGATCAAGTTGAACTCGAGTGGTAAAGGGGAGTTTCAGCAGAGGATAAAGCCAAGTATCAGTGCATCTTCTTCCATTAGCTTAACTCTGAATAACAATGTCATTTCAAATTGCTTGGGTAATCTTTCAGATTGCAGAAGTTGGGAATGTAGAACATCCCGTGGGAATCAGTCGAATCAGTTCCCTGTCAACGGCTATATGAAAGAGAACCCTCTTGTTGTTATTCCATCTAGCTTAGGTATTGCTGACTGTCAATGTGATGGGACAAAAAATATTGACTTGAATTTGATCAAAAGAAATGATCATTCCTTTAGTACAGTAGAGCAGAACCTGCTCCCGGAGATTGAGTCTTACTATGGATACCAAGAAGATTACCAGAAGAGCAGGAACCATGATCTTGTTTTGCCACATTTGGTGCAATCAAAAATGCGTTTGATGGGTAAGGAGTTTCTAGTTGGTGGAAACGAGCTTTGGAAAGATGAACAAATCATAGCTGGGCATCATTCTGCTGGTACTGCCTTTGACAATTTAACAATTTACAGTCAGAATGAACCATCTATTGGGAAATTTAGAGAAAATTTGGCTTGTTCATCGGAAACTGATATCAATCACATATCAGAAAGTATGTTGCGGACAAAGATTTCGGACTCTAGGTTTCCCGTCTCTCACTTTGCCATGCAAAGTACTGATGTGCACCAGAATGATTTTGTCGCAAGCAAAATAAATCCTGTTCCGGGATTATATACTTATCTTTCTCCTGGTAACTCCTCCACCGTTCCTAATATGAGATCTATATTCCGGGATCCTGTCCCCCATGGATATGAATCCAAAACAGTTATCTCTGAGTTCCCTATGCCAAGACCTGCTTTTCAGGGATTGCCTCATGCTCCAAGATCAGTTATCCGTTTCCCATTCATGCACCCGGATCTCGAAGGTCATGCACAATCATCTTGGTATCAACGCTCTTCTAAGAACCTGTCCCCATTATTGTTTGATGAAAGGGAAACATTGTTGAGTTATGGTCCATCATATTCTAATTTAGGCAGCAGATGTGGTCCCCGTACAATGCTGGGAACTAACTGTTGTACTGATCCTGGGGCGTCGCTGACACATGAAGCTTTTTGCTTGCACAATTCTGTCACTTCTGGCTCTGCCTTTCAGAATTCAATTGCTCCAGCTCCGTTGACTCAGCGTGCACTCATGCCTTGCTACTCGGGGGTCATGCCAAATTCAGTTTTGCAGAAAGGACGTGGAAGTCAGATAAAATTCGAAGAACCAGTCGGGTCAAGAATGAGCATTAGAGGACCTAGCCATGGCGAGAAAGCCAGAAAGCGGGCTTCGGCTGTATCAGTCGATTCTTCTCAGCCCATGAAGATGCCTAAGTTGGGAAGTCAAGAAGCATCTTATTTTTCTATGACAAAATCGATGACCTGCATTAATTTTGAAGGTGATGCTGAAAATATTGGGCAACCATTTCAATCAAATTTTGCCAAAAACAAAGCAAAAATCATGTCTTGTGGAGAACATGGGAATGATAAGGATGAATACACAATTTTAACAGGGAAGGATTCTTTCAGTGGCACAGCAAAATCAGGTCCCGTTAAGCTGACTGCTGGAGCAAAGCACATACTCAAGGCCTGTCAAAAAATGGATCAGAGTAGTTCCAAATCAACCCATTCGACCGTCCCTTTTGTGGCAACAACTACAGGTTTCAGGCTTTTAGAATCTGAGAAATCAGCTCCAATCTACAGGTTCTAGGAGTAAGCCTGCTGCTCATCATGGTCAAAATTTGAGATTGTTCCACATATACAGTTTCTCCTAATGCTTCTTTTAATGCAGGAGGATCGCTCCAATACTCAATTTTGTTTCTGCCTACACTGAATCCAGCTTGAATAGCACAAATTCTCAAATGTGGCTTGTTGTGCTGTCAAATAAGCTGAAAAGTGTGGAACAATGTTGCTAGTTGTTTGTTTATTATGCGAGTTATGTTTAAATGACATTTACGTACTATCTTTCAACGAGTAGACGAGAAGATAAACACGCATCAATATTGAGAACGAAATGGTGCAATCTTTAACTCTGGCTATTTGTGTGTTGGCCGTGTCATTTTGTATTCTTATAAATTATCCTTTCATCTTCAAGTTTGTCGTAATACGTTAATTTGCAAACAGAAGAAATTACTGTGAGTTATGTGTGTGACATTGATGGAAATCCATATGGCCACAAAGGGAAGGGAACCTGTATATAACTGTGTTAGTGGAAAAAGAAAAGAAAGTCGAAATCAATCTTTCTTTTCGGATTGAGAAAGAAAAAAGTACGTACGGTATACGAATTACCACTCAAAAATGTGCTCGGATAGCGCTATAAACGAGTATAGAATCCAATATTTTAACCCTTGTTGTTCATCCAATGTGTTAATTGTTTGCAGGGTTGCATATATGTTCATTCATTCAGAAAAACAAAATGTTTACAGTAAAACTGTGTCGAAAATTCAAAATAATGCTTGTACAAAATCTAGCGTAAGTGATACATACATATTAAGAAAACTTTAGTAATGTGTATAGATGTAATGGTATCTCACATCCAGCTGAAAAGAAAAAAATTCCAGTCGAAATTTTCGAAGAAAATTATAGGAATAATGATACTCATTTGTCCTGGTGTTCTTATTTGATACTGAAGATTTGAAGGCATGAAAATAATTTGTATAAGCTGTTGTTGGTTTAAAAAGATGAAGCTAATTTATGGCTTTGGTATTTGATGCAATACAAGATACAAAGGCATGCATGCTCGTTTCAATTTAGTAACTTTTCATGAGTAATATATTTGTGGTTCTCACGAGATGTATGGATAATAAATGAATAATAATTACGAACGTATCGTTGAACTTTGACTCGATACAAAAATGAATTTATAAGCAACTTTTTAAGAAGTAAGAACATAGACTATATATGTTTTCCATACATACATTGTATAAATAATTTTAATATTTTGTATTCCTTATTATAATCCGAAAGGCCCAAAAACAAAAAGAAATAGTTCTAGAACTGCATGAAATATCTCGAATAATAGTGTGATCGATGAAAAGTTAATAAAAAATATATACATTTTTCCCTAGGTGGTTTAAAAAAAGTAAGAAATAAAGCTAACTGAAATTTGGTAGCAAATAATTAAAAAGTTGATAGTAACCCAATAAAACCCTAAGTGTATTTACATGATTTTGAAAGGCAGGGTGATGTTACCATCATCAAGTCAATGTTTCCTTGAATAAGGCAGGTGGACCAAACCTAGCTTCTGTGGTCCTAGTTAGTAATTACATAGAAACCTTAATTATTCAGAAAAAGTAGATATTCTGCTAATCTTGTCTTAAGATCACTGTTCATGTGACCAGTGGATATATAGAGACTAGGGTGTATGGAGTCATAGATTATATGACTTTTGATCACGAGTGTCAATCGTGTACAACTTTTGTACCAGTTAATCTCGAGGTCTATTTTCTATTCAATTCTTGAACTTTATATTTTATCATTTTTTTTTTTTTTGGGAGTCGATGCTTGAACTAAATTTTATAATCTCAGTTTTTCATTATAAAATGTTGAAATGATAAAGATCTTTCCAATTAATTTGTTAATTCATGTATTGAAATTAATTTAGTTTCAACTTTACGAATATATTTTCTTATTAAAAATTTCAAATCAAATACACATGTTTTTTTTTTAACTTATAAACTGAGTAATAATCATATTACATCTTGTGTTGTTTATATATATAATCCATATTACAAATTTTTTAATAATCATATTACATTTGCTTTTTTTATTTGCTAATTATTACAAGATATTTTAATTTTAGCAATGATTATTGAATAGGCCTACTTTTGTGGAAATTACACGAATCCAGTTGTTTAAATATCACATTTCAAAAATCAGATTTGATAAAAAAAAAAAAAAAATTCAAAGATCAGATATTAATTTAAACTTTTTAATATCTTAAATTAAATTAACTCCACTCACCCAAACTCTAATTATTTTTCACTCTTCCTTATCTCTTCTTCAGCCGCTTTTCACTCTTCTCTTTACATCTCTCTCTTCTCTCTTTTCTTTTCTCTCCCTCTCTCTCTTTGAACGTCATTGACCGACAATGAAGGTATTGCGTCAGCCGGCGATGCTGCGGCATCGAGGACTGCTGAGAGTTCTCAGCAGCGTCGTCCGTAGACGCTGCTTTGAACGGCAGCATTACGCGCTGTAGTAAGTGCCGACTGATGCTGGTGACTCTTCACGGCATGCCCAATATGCTGGCCAATTCCTCTCCTCAAGACCACCCTAACAATGGTCGCCAATCAAAAAATAATCATTCCCATCAAAATCTGCAAGCCATGTTTACGCAACCAGTAACTATGCAATTTTCCGTTGATAATTCCAGCGCCGATGGTGGGACCCATGATCTCGGACTACCACATCAGGTACCTACTTCTCTTGGTGCATCCGTTGAGCACATGGGGCTCCCCCAATTTGGCCTTGCGATAGCAATAAACGATGGGGGCAGTGCGAACAGATCGCGAACAGCTAGTGGTGGCGATGACAGTGGTGGTTGTGATATTTTTGTTGGTAGTGTATTAGATCTAGTGGAAGCGGCGGCTTTGTTGGTGGTGGCGTTATGGTGCTGTTGTGGTGGTGGCGACGATGGTGGTGGTAGGATACTGTTTGTGACCAACTATTTGATTGGTCTGTGACCAAGTATTGGTGGTGTATCAGGATCGAAGGTAGGTTTTTTTGGTGTATGTGACCAACTATTTGGTTGATTGTGACTAACTATTAAAATGTGACTTTAAAATTCGATAATTTGTGATTAAAAAATAATTTGTGACCAACAAATTTGAAAACATGTGATCGAAAAAGAAAGCGTGACCTATAATTTTTTTGATCTGTGACCAATGAAATAAATTGTGATATATAAATTTTTTGATTTGTGACAATTAATTTGATAATATGTGATCAAAAAAAAGTTGTGACTCATGAACTTGCATATGTGACCATGAATTATACAATTGTGAGTTTAATATATTTAATTAACAAAAATACATTTAATTAATTAACAAATACCTGATTTTTGCATTTTTAAACTTAAGGCCTGAATTTTGAAGGGAAAAAATCAAAAATAAGGTGTATACTTTACACCAATTCAAAAATCAGATATATAGTTTGAAAATTCAAAAATCAGGCTTTTTTTTTATAAATATAATATAATATAATTAACCCACCTCCACCTGCACCACCCACCCATACCGCTCCGGGGATTATTCCGGCAATTATTCCGATCACCACTCTTCTCCCGCGACTGTTCCGATGATCGTTCCGGCGACTGTTCCGATTCTGACAATTATTCCGACGACCATTCCGGTCACAGATTTATAAAGTTAGTCACATATCATTTTTCAGTCACGGATAATAATTTTTATATGTCACAGATTATTTTATGGTCACAGATCAAAAATTTTGTAGGTCACAATTATTTCGTTGGTCACATATTTCAAAATTAATTGGTTACAGATCAAATCTTATGGGTCACACGATCACATATTTCAAAATTAATTAGTCACAGATCAAATCTTATAGGTCACACGGTCACATATTTCAAAATTAATTGGTCACAGATTTTTTTCAAGGTCACAGATTATATAACAGCACCAACGCCACACCACCACCACAACAACACCCATGAAAGCCGCCACTCCACGGAGCCTCCACCAACAAAACAATCATCACCCAAACGCCGCGACAACCAGTAGTAACACCATCATTTCCAAAACCACCAGATCCACCACCACAATTTTATACTCGCCGCAGAAAACACCACCATCATCAAGATCCACCACTACCGCAGCCGCTACATGGTTCGTCCCACTCCACCACCGCGACCGCAGCCAACAACCACAACCGCCAATTAATTTTTTCGAATCTGATCTGCAACAACCACAACCAGATCACATCCCCTGTGCCATCTCACACACAAAAACTCGCCACACGGTTGACCACCGCACAATAGATTAATCAAAAACGAAAAGTGAGGCGACGCTACTGCTGCGCCGTACCCACGTCGACCAACACACAAAACTATACAGCACCTTGGCGAAGATGTGGGGCAGTCGCCGAAGCTTCCTTTGCCCGCAGACGTTCGCTTGAGAGATAGCCGATGCTATGTCGTAATGCAGAGTGATCGAGACCGGATGAACCTTCATGACGGAGCAATTTCAAGAAATTTGGATCAAAGGGGGGAAAACCCAGATTGTACTTGTGCAAAACTATATAGCATATTTCTGGCAAAATCAAGATATTGTGTGATTTAATATTGCTGCGCCGCTTCGAGCAGTGAGCACCACTGCGTCTGCTGGTGTCACGCTCACTGCTGCCGCCGCGGGTTCCAATCCGATGAAAGCTGTTACGAGCGCCACCGCCAGATTCGACCACCGCACAGACCGGTGCTGCAAGCGATGCTCGAAGGTGTCACAGTGAGAACCGTCGCCCTCCGCTGTGGTTTCGTCGACGACGGGAAGAGCCGGGAAGGAGAGAGGCGACGGGAAGAGACTGGAAAAGAGAGATGAGAGTTGCATTTGATTTCTAGGGTTTGTATGTGAAATTTGTATATATAATATTTATTTAATATTTAAAATGTCAAATACCTGAGTTTTGATTAAAAAACTTCCCCACCTGAGTTTTGATTAACAGACTTCCCCACCTGATTTTTTAATTTGAAACTTTAACTACCGGCTTCCTCCTAATTTGTGAACTCTCTTCCTCCTAATTTTCCCAATTTTGAATTTGGGAAACTTAAGACATAATTTGTGAACTCTCTTCCTCCTAATTTTCCCGCTTCCTACAAATGGCCCAAATGATAAGAGGATTCAAGCCCAATAATAAGCCCATAGAGTAAACCCATTGTTTTCTCTGACGAATGTCGATCGGGTTGGCGCCCCCCAAAATTTTCAGCTCGTAATCGCTCTCGAAACTCGACACCCCACTTACCCACTCGCCCATGGCCACTCCACCTCCATCATCCATACCTACTGGAAGTGGCCTTGCGCCCCATGCATATGCCCAGAGCTCTGATACGCAAACCCTGCATTTACCATTTCTCTGTACGTTTCGTCTCAATTTTGGAATAGTAATTTGGCGAACTTTGTGTGAAAAACAGATTCTTGAATTGGGTATTCTGTTTAAACCCGAAGTCTTATTATTTTTTATTTTTGTTTGAAATGAGATACGTGAATCACGAGTCAGGTATGTATTTCTTTTAAAAATTGCCAGCTTGACCCGATTCTTCATAACTATTACCGTCTGCGTTGTCTTTCGGATTTTTTATCAGCTAATGAATTGATCAAATGTTTTGTATTTTCCTCCAAGAACTTGAAATTGAATTGGTCTCATGTATTTTTATATGTTAGCAAAAAGGTGGCATTAGTCTGGGCTTGTTGTGCTTTATTTATTTATTGTTTATTTTAAGGTTAAGCAGGAAGGGAAGTTGTTATTGGGTTGGTATATTTTGGTCTTTAGATTGCTCTTGCAACCTTTTGAATGTGGCTGATTTATTTATTTATTTTTAATTACATTTTTGAACTTTTGTTTGTTTCGCAGGGATTGGAAGTTTGGGACTGCATTTCTTTTACTCTCTCATGTGATCAGTTGTTCTTTGAAATGCATTGTTACCGTGTTTTTCACATCATGCGTGTTTGAATTCCTTCCTGAGGTTCAAAACAATATAGGCTTGTAAAATAGAGACAAATGTGGTCTTGGATTGTGCGCAAGGAATACAGTTTGATAGCATACAAACAATTGGGCTTAGGTTGTTGTCAAGTTGTATGGTTCTTCATTGTCGTGTTTTTCGAAAAATTATGGGGCTTATAAAAGTTGTGGCCCTTGTGGGTTTAGCATTTGTTTGGGTTTGTCTCAAGTTTGTTCTGGAATAAGTATATTATTCTTTTGTGAAGTTATTTTTCGGGGATGTTTAAATGATTTTGGTTATATATCTTTGAACGCTGATGGAAGTACCAGAAGAAGCAGTCTATGTCCATTCTAGAATATTAAAATCTGCTGCGTGGAAAGATTTTGATAGAGTTAGGCCCTGTTTGATCGCCATTATTTGGGAAAAAAACAATGTCTTGAATAGTGATTTTGAGGATAATGTGTGATTTAAAATGTAGGAAAATTTTTTTAGGTTTACGTGCAGAATATTTTATTGCACGAATGTGTGGTTGAAATTGAGTATATAGAAAAAAGAGTATTCAAGTAATGGTCATTAAGCAGAGGCTTAAAAAAGGTTATACATTAGTGGCTAATTGCCGGTACTGTAAAAGAATAATTAGTTGGGTCAAGACTTCCAAGTACCAGTGGAACATCACATTTGAGAAATCACTTGATCAGATGCTGTAGAAGATCAAATCATGATGTAAGTCAGTTGCTAACAAGGGGAAAGAAAAGGAAGCACCCTTGCCCTTACCAATGTCGGTTAAAATCAAGCTCAAAGAAATGAGAGAGTCACTGTTGTAAGTACTAATTTTGAACAAGGGCATGTAAAAGTTGGAACAGTTAACACGGGCAGTTTCCGTTCTGATCATAGGTTTAGTCAACTAGATCTTGCATGCATGATTATGTTACATGGGTATCCTCTGAGTATGGTTGAAGATGTTGGCTTCAAGATGTTTGTTCGAAATCTCAGCCACCTTGCGACAACAAAGTTGAGGCTGACTGTCTGGAGATCTATAAAAAAGAGAAACAGAAAGTGTACGAGGAGTTAGATAAGTTGCCTGGAAAAGTCAGCCTTAGGGCAGATAGATGGGTCACTAATGGAGATACGCAATATCCGTGTTTGATAGCACACTACATTGATGATTCTTAGGCATTAAAGAAGAAGATTTTGAACTTTTTAAAGATCAATCCTTCTCAAGCAGAAGACTGACTTTCAGACGTAATCATGAATAGCCTTAGGGATTGGGATATTCATGGGAAGTTGTTTTCATTGACCATTGATAACCAATCCTCTTATGACAAGATTGTCTGTATAATCAGAGACAAACTATGCCAGCACAGGTTCCTCATGTGTGAAGGTCAATTTTTTGATGTACGCCGTGCAGCAAACACTGTCAAGTTTTTGGTCCAAGTCGTCTTGTGAGATAACTCATAAAGTTCAGGAAAGCATTTGATATGTTAAAATTCTCGGGAAGACAAGAAAAGTTCGATGAGATGTTTCAACTCGTTGTTATTAATAGTCAGAAATGTTTTACCCCTTGACAATCCATTTCAATGGGACTCGACATACATAATGCTTGAAGCTGCTTTACAGTATAAAGAACAATTTCCCCTTTTGCAAGAACGTGACCTATCCACTCAACGTGCCCATCGGGTTTGGATTGGGACAGAGTGTGAGCTATTACTAGCATCTTGAATTTTTTTCATGAAGCTTCTAATGTCTTCATGGGAAGCAAGCATTCTACTGTCAATACCCATTTCTCGGAGATTTGTGATTTTCATTTGCAATTGATTGAATTGTGCCAGACGTCGGATGATTTCTTTAGCTCTTTTGCTTTAAAATTGAAATCTAAATTTGATGAATATTAGAAGAAGTGCAGCTTAATCGTGGCTATTTCAGCCATCTTAGATCCACGATTCAAGATGAAACTGGTGGAGTATTACTATCCTCAATTTATGAAGATAGTGCTCCGGATTGCATAGATATTGTTTCAAATTGTATGGAAGCTCTTTACAATGGGCATGCAATCTATTCACCATTAGCTTCTCATGGACAAGGTTCAGCTTCTGAAAATGGTGGTAGTGATGTTAAAGGATAAATTAGCTGGATTTGACAGATTCCTGCGTGAAACTTTGCCTACCCTAAATATTATTTCGGACCTGGACATGTATTTGGAGGAACCCCTGTTCCCATGTCATGTTGATTTCAACATCTTAAATTGTTGGAAAGTTCATTCACCAAGGTATCCTATCCTATCTATGATGGTCCGTAATATATTGGGGATTCCAATTTCGAGAGTTGCACTGGAGTCTCTATTCGATAATGGTGATAGAATGGTGAATCATCGTTGGTGCTTATTGAAATCTGATACTTTGCAAGCTTACACGTGTTCTCAGGATTGGATGAGCAATGAATTAGGAGGTAGATTCCTTTTGTGATATTTCTAATTTTGAATATTTTATAGTTATGCGAATAGATATTCTGCTTACTGCTGTAACAGACCCCTAAGCTTCCTCAGCTACCACTTTTGCCTTGTGCTATGATGCAACTTAGCAAGTTGCTCATGGATTTCTGGTTCCTATAGCTATTAGCCCATCACTTAGAAGTTCTGTCTATATTTGTTTCAGGAATCTCAATTATACTTGTTTCTTTCTTTTATATGTCAAGTTTTGTTATAATTTGTATAAATATACCTTTTTCATATTTCTGGAACAGTCATGAATTTGGAAGAGATTTCATTCTGATTTAAGGGGTTCTGATGTGATTGGTGGCATTGCCATAGGCTTTTTAATATTTCTTTCTAGTGTGTCATTTGTGGAGGATGGGAATTGGGGGAAAAAAAAGGACCTCAAGGTTGAATCCTTGAGTCATTTTGCTAATGCCCTTAAAACAAGCCCGCTTAATGTTCTACAAACATCCAACTGATTGACATTTGAAAATATGCTGTGGCTGGGAATAGTGTAGTGTGTGGGTTATTGCATTTAGTGATCTACAGCCACAGAGAGGCACATTTGCACCAGTACCTGACATGTTAGTTTACACGCTATAAATATGCAAGATGAGTCAAGTTGAAGTTACTTGGGCATCTGTTGCTTGGCTGATGTATTCACATTAATTTGCTAGGTATGAACTCTTGGACGGGCTTGGTTATATTTTATATGGATCAAGCTTGATTTGACTTCTAAATATTCTGTCCTTATGGGGGAGAAAATAGGATCCCCTTCTATTTGAGGTACACTGTTAGTATTTACAGTGATATAAATGAGCGGAAATATTAACTAGAGATAGCTAAAATTTAGGGAAATCAAGTGCACCAGAAGCTGCGACAAGTTTGGAGGCATGAGCTGGTGATCATGGGGTTAGACAAACATTGATGCTTTGATCCGTTAATATGGCTGTCTGGAAACAGTGAACAGGAAAATGGAAAACCAGTTAAAAGATCTTTTAAATCTGCATGCGTGAATCTGATGTGCGAAGCTCTTGACAATTTTGAAATTTAGTTGGTGCTGGAATGTATCATAGTGTGATACCTTGTGAATTGATGATTGAGTTTGTAAGGTTGATAGATGAAATGGATTGAATTAGAGTGGAAGTTCAAGAGAAACAAGTGAAGATGTTGGGAATGAGTAAAACTGTAATAAAACTGAATTAAAATTGACATGCTTGTTTTTAAAATTCGATGACCTTAAGGTTGAAAAAAAATATTTGATTGTCCTATCGAAGTCCATGTCCAACCTTACTAAATTTATTTTAATTTTTGCATTGTGCATAGTGCTACTCTATGATTTCATTCTTGTAAAAAAATTTTGAACCTAACCCTCCACCCCCTTCTCAAGAGTCCTCCAGAGTCCAATAAGTAAATACTCTGTTAGAATCGAGCATTAGATGAAATCTTGGTACGATATAAGTGGGACCGTCCTTCTAAATACTCTGCCTGTACTGGAATCGGGCATTAGGTGTAATCTTGGTACAACATAGGTGGGACCGTCGTCCTTAATAATAAGATTCTTCTATAGGGACCCCAATTATTGTTTCCATATATGTTATAATCATCTTTGTGGTGATGCTACACTTTATTGGATGGTCCACTGCTCTTAAACACCATATGCATGAATCAGGTGGTAATATTCTCAACCTTGTAGGGTCACATTACCATAGGATCTGTCATTTTCGATGCACTGTGATGCATAAATCCTTAGTCATTACTGTTAATTGGGCTGTCAATAATACGAGCTTGTACCTCATTCTAAGCAATGGTGTCTTTTCCATTGCATTCCTATCCTACTCCTTCAGACATTAAACTAGGTAGAATCTC